CATTCTTCCCATTGACCACCAATGTAAGGGACATTCTTCCCACTGATCACCAATGTGAGGGACATTCTTCCCATTGACCACCAATGTAAAGGGTATTTTCCCCACCGACCACATATAGATTGGTTTTTACAGGGGTTCCCTGAGAACTTAAAATCATTTCAAGGGTTCCCCAATTGTAAAAAAAAAAGTTGGGAAAGGTTGATCATGAGAGTTGTCCTACAACACGTCCATCAGATCCAATAGTCTGCACGTCTTTTATTATTGATGCTTTAATAAACCCTCCTGAACTATACTTACGTTTCCACTGCTACTTTCCTTGATGTTCCCATCTTTCCAGTTCACACAACTTTCAGGCCCTGAAGAAGGGCTATTCACTGATTATTGTCACTCCTACAGTTGTGTCCAAAATTATTCAACCCCCAATGCTGTAAAGGGGTTTAGGGACTATAGTGTACATTTGGAATTGTATTCAGAATCAAATCCTACAAGGACGTTGTAACTACCCAAATGCAACTAAAATGACATCAATTGTTTATGTAATACAGTAGTAAATGGTTCTTATGTGGTTTCTTCATTGCCACAATTATTCAACCCCTTAAAGACTACCACTCTGAAGAACAGAGGTTCATACAGGTGCTTTCCATCAGGTATTGAAAACACCTGTGGATGTCACCGAGCAGCAATCAAGCATAATAAGCACCAATTAGGCAGCTTTAAAATGACTGTGATACTCAGCTCCTTCTAGACATTTACTGGTGTGGTTACAAACATGGTGAAGGCAAGAGAATGGTCCAGGAAGACAAGAGAAGAGGTGATTTCTCTTCACAGGAAGGGCAATGGCTATAAGAAGATTGCAAAGATGTTAAACATACCAAGAGACACCTTAGGAAGCATCATTCGCAAATTCAAGGCAAAGGGCACTGTTGAAACGCTACCTGGTCGTGGCAGAAAGAAGATGCTGACTTCGACTGCTGTGCGCTACCTGAAGCGTAGAGTGGAGAGAAGTCCCCGTGTGACTGCTGAGGAACTGAGAAAAGATTTGTCAGATGTGGGTACAGAAGTTTCAGCCCAGACAATAAGACGCACACTGCGTAATGAAGGCCTCCGTGCCAGAACTCCCAGGCGTACCCCCTTGCTGTCTCCAAAGAATAAGAAGAGTCGACTGCAGTATGCCAAAAGCCATGTGGACAAACCACAAAAGTTGTGGGATAGTGTTCTGTGGACTGATGAAACAAAATTAGAACTGTTTGGGCCCATGGATCAACGCTATGTTTGGAGGAGGAAGAACAAGGCCTATGATGAAAAGAACACCTTGCCTACTGTGAAGCATGGTGGAGGGTCAATCATGCTTTGGGGCTGTTTTGCTTCTGCAGGTACAGGGAAGCTTCAGCGTGTGCAAGGTACCATGAATTCTCTTCAGTACCAGGAGATATTGGATGGAAACGTGATGCAGTCCGTCACACACCTGAGGCTTGGGAGACGTTGGACCTTTCAACAGGACAATGATCCCAAGCATACCTCCAAGTCCACTAGAGCATGGTTGCAGAGGAAAGGCTGGAACATTTTGGAGTGGCCATCGCAGTCACCAGACTTAAATCCGATTGAGAACCTCTGGTGGGACTTAAAGAAAGCAGTTGCAGTGCGCAAGCCTAAGAATGTGACTGAACTGGAGGCCTTTGCCCATGAAGAATGGGCGAAGATACCCGTAGATCGCTGCAAGACACTTGTGTCAAGCTATGCTTCACGTTTAAAAGCTGTTATAACTGTAAAAGGATGCTGTACTAAGTACTAAGATTGAATGTCACTTGGGGGTTGAATAAAACTGATAATGCTGTGAGCACAGAAAAGACATTTGTGGTTATTTCATTATAACTGTTATGTTATATTTGTCTGACCTACAAGTGCCTCTTTAATGTAAATGTAAGCAAGATGACTGAATGATCAAAAGCAATGTCAAACTGGCCAAAACACTCAATTTCAGTGGGGGTTGAATAATTTTGGACACAACTGTATATGAAGTAATAAAAATCCTCTTGGACTTTACGATGATCACTGGTGTTCTGCTCTTCATATATTTTCTACTCTTTATTTTGGTCATAAAAGAGACGTTTGAATTTCGTCCACTAGCATGAAAATTAGAACTTACTGACTTAACATGCAGAGTGTTCCAAAGAAAAAAAAAAAAAAAAAAAAAGCAATTCCCGGATCATTTGGTGGAACCAATTACGGTAACAGTATCAGACATCTCTCATAGCACATTGGTAAATAGCTGCCCAACGAAGATATGCTTCCTCAAGTGCAATAATAAAAGCCAGCTCCGGCTGCACTGAGCTTATGTAATGTGAACAAAAGCAGAACCAGGAGCAACAAACTTGTCCGCAATTATTAGATTCAAACTGCAGGCGGACAGGCTCGCTCTACAGACACTGTCACTTCTTACATTTCACTGGGGATCTGCTGGATTTCCCTCCACCGGCCGCCTGCCTGTCAGGCTCCTGCGATCCGCTTCATGGCGATACAGTGTTTCTTTTTGCCTTTTATTTACCATGTGCCCCACCCCTCCGCCAACAAGATCCTACCCAGTTTATTTCCCATTTTGTTTGAATTTCCCGCACATGATTTTTACACTGCTCAAAAAATGAAAGGAAGACTGAAAACCCATCAGATCTCAATGGGGACGAATCTCCTGCTGGATCTCTATACTGACATGGATGGGGGATGGATGAGGTACGTAAGGACGCCCCATCGTTGGATGGAAATGATCGATCTACAGAGGACTGAATTCAGAGACACCCCGAAAATCAAAGTGAAGAAATGATGCAGCAGGCGAGTCCATTTGGCTGAAATGTCATTGCAGCGACTCAGAATGGTCCTCAGTAGTCTGTGTGGCCCCCACGAGCTTGTATGCATGCCTGACAACATCGGGGAAGGCTCCTAATGAGACCATAGATGGTGTCCTGGGGGATTTCCTCCCAGATCTGGACCAGGGCATCAATGAGCTCCTGGACAGTCTGATGTGCAACCTGGTGGCGTCGGATGGACCGAAACATGATATCCCAGAGGTCTTCTATTGGATTTAGGTCAGGCCAGTATGAGGGCCATTCAATGGTATCAATTCCTTCATCCTTCACGAACTGCCTGCATACTCTCCCCACAAGAGGCCGGGCATTGTTATGTACCAGGAGGAACCCAGGACACACTGCACCAGGAGGAACCCAGGACTGTCAAGGTCCTACCTTTTCCCTGAGGTTATGTTTCTCCATGTGCTGGCGTCCATCTTGGATTCTGCTGTGCATGGTGGGAATCCTTTTTATGCCTTCAGGTCTCTGAGGTCCACCCCCCAGGGGGGTGTGGCTGATGACATATAAGCCTGTGGCCTGCACATGCTCTTTGCACTTGTGTCTTGTGTCTTTGTGTCGCTATTACTCTGTTCTGACTCTCGTGACTCTCCTGGTATCTGATTCGGCTTGTGACTTGACTATTCTTTGTATTCTCCTTTGATCTGACCCTCTGTTGCTGAACCCGGCTCGTGACCTGTGATTCTTGTCTGCTGTCCTGTACTGTTTTGTCCTGTTGTTGTTGGCCTGTCTGACTACTCTTTTGTCTCTTCCAGCTACACGCCATTGGCGGCGGCCATTACCGCAGCTAAGGTGTCTCGGGGGCCGTGACCTGGTTCCTGGCTGCGTCAAGTCCATCCCCACCATCAGGGGCCCTGGTGAAGGGCAGCCTGGGACTTAGACTCCGCGCCCTGAGGGACTTCGGTCTGTGGGTGGTGGTTGTCGTCAGCCAGTGCGTTACATTGTTAGGCCTGCCTGTCCGTTCCTCGGCTCCTGCCCTGACAAGGACCCACTGCACCAGGAGGAACACAGGACCCCCTGCACCAGCGTAGGGTCTGACAATGGGTCCAAGGATTTCATCCCCATATCTAATGGCAGTCAGGGTGCCATTGTCTAGCCTGTAGAGGTCTGTGTGTCCCTCCATGGATATGCCTCCCCAGACCATCACTGACCCACCACCAAAACGGTCATGCTGAACCATGTTTCAGGCAGCAGAACGTTCTCCACGGCTTCTCCAGAGATTCTCTCCTGGAATCTCCTCCATGCTCTTGAGACTGTGCTGGGAGACACAGCGAACCTTCTGGCAATGGCATGTATTGATGTGCCATCCTGGAGGAGTTGGACTGCCTGTGCAACCTCTGTAGGGTCCAGGTATGGCCTCATGGTACCATTGGTGACACTGACCATAGCCAAATGCAAAACGAGTGAAAAACAGTCAGAAAAGATGAGTAGGGAAAAAAATATGTCAGTGTCCTCCACCTGTAAAACCATTCCTGTTTTCGGGTCGTCTCATTTTTGCCCATCTAGTGCACCTGTTGTTCATTTCATTAACACCAAAGCAGCTGAAACTGGTTAACAACCCCCTCTGCTACTTCCCTGACCAGATCCATATCCCAGGAGTTTCATGGACTTGATGCTACACTCTGATTACAAAGTCTTCCTTTAATTATTTTGAGCAGAGTATATTGGAAATATGGACTATTTCTGTTCAGTTTCAAGTGGTTGTAAAGGTTCAAAGTTTTTTACCTTCTTGTATTCCATGCATGAAGGTAAAAAAACCTTCATTGTGCAGCCCCCCCAGCCCCCTAATTCCTGAGCCACTTCTTGATCCAGAGATGTGCACAACAGCCCTGGCTGTCCGGGGTCTCTCCATTCTCATTGGACATGACAAAGAATTACAACTTCAAAAAACTTTCCATGTCTCTTACTAAATACCTCAGACTGTCTACTTTCCAAAAAGGGGTCATTTGGGGGTATTTGTACTGTCCTGGCATTTTGGGCCTCAAGAAAAGAGATTGGCCATCAGCACAGCAGAAGTAGTATTGATTGATTTTCAGATATATACCATGATGCCAAAAGTATTGGCCCCGCCCTCCAAATCATTGGGTTCAGGTGTTCCAATCCCCTCCATGGACACAGGTGTATACAATCAAGCCCCTAGGCATGCAGACTGCTTCTACAAACATTGGTGAAAGAATGGGTCGCTCTCAGGAGCTCAGTGGCTCCAAGCGTGGTCCCGTGATAGGTGGCCACCTGGGCAATAAGTCCATCCGTGACATTTCCTGGCTACTAAATATTCCACGCTCAACTGTTAGTGGGATTATAACAAAGTGGAAGCAACTGGGAACAACAGCCACTCAGCCACCAAGTGGTAGGCCACGTCACATGACAGGGCGGGGTCAGCGCATGCTGAAGCGCACAGTGCACAGAAGTCACCAACTGTCTGCAGAGTCAATAGCTAAAGACCTCTCTAAACTTGGTGTGGCCTTCAGATGAGCCTAACAACAGTGTGTAGAGAGCTTCATGGAATGGGTTTCCATGGCCGAGCAGCTGCATCCAAGCCTTCCATCACCAAGTGCAATGCAAAGCGTCGGATGCCGTGGTGTAAAGTACGCCACCACTGGACTCTAGAGCATGGAGACGTGTTCTCTGGAGAGACCAATCATGCTTCTCTGTCTGGCAATCTGATGATCGTGTCTGGGTTTGGCGGTGGCCAGGAGAACGATACTTGCCTGACTGCATTGTGCCAAGTGTAAAGTTTGGTGGAGGGGGATTATGGTGTGGGGTTGTTTTTCAGGGGTTGGGTTTGGCCCCCTAGTTCCAGTGAAGGGAACTTTTAAGGCGACATTTTGGACAATTTCCTGCTCCCAACTTTGTGGGAAGAGTTTGTGGATGGCCCCTTCCTGTTCCAACATGACTGCGCACCAGTGCACAAAGCAAGGTCCATAAAGACATGGAGGAGCCAGTTTGGGGTGGAGGAACTTGACTGGCCTGCACAGAGTCCTGACCTCAACCCCATAGAACACCTTTGGGACGAATTAGAGCGGAGACTGTGAGCCAGGCCTCCTCCCCCGACATCAGTGCCTGACCTGACAAATGTGCTTCTGGAAGAATGGTCCAACCTTCCCATAGACACACTATTTAATAAATATTTTAATTGCATATGTGCTTTTACTTGGGACAGGGTGAGCTAAAAACCTTTTTGGTGCCTGCCCGCATGCCTGCTGTCACTGCTGTCGCAGTCACTGAAATCATACAAGAATTATGCTGCTGATTATAAGATGGGCAGCACACTGACTACCAATAAAATAGCACACTGGCCACCATTGTCATGTGCACACTGCCCACCAATGAAATAGGTACACTGACAACCAACGTAATTGGCACAATGACCACAAATGTAAGGGGGCACCAACGTAAGAGGGCACTCACCACTGATCAACTAATGTTGCATATATCCTTTTGATTGCTATGTTATATGTTGCAAAATAACAGGGACACGCTGCCTGCTATAATGCTGGGGTTAGTTGTTGTGTAGTGTTAGTAGGGTTTAATTATTGTGTTATGTTGGGAGTTAATTATTGTGAAGTGTTGGGGGGTTAATTATTCTGCAGTGCTGGGTGTAAATTATTGTGCAATGTTTGGAGATAATTGTCCAGTACTGGGGGATAATTGTTGCACAATGCTGGGGGTTTATATTGTGCACTGGTGGGAGATAATTGTTGTACAATGCTGGGGTATTGTTATTGGACCATGCTGGGGGTTAACTATTGTGCTGAAAAGTCACAAACTACCATCCTTAGATGGTGAAAAAACACCCACTTTTGGATCACATCGCTATTGTCCCACTTGCCAGCCCAGGACCCCATGGTGAGTGACTCTACGTAAAGGGGAGGGAGACCAGTGAACATATGTTTACTGATCTTTCCTATCTGGTAAAATCCTGGATGCAACATTTACAAAGCCACTCCCGGGTTCAGCTATATCACTTTCCTCAGCTACTGTAGCAGGGGAAGAGGCTTATGGAGTGCAATCTGTGCTCCGTTAACTTCAAGGGAGGGCAGGAGAGACATTAGGGGTCTAATACACCACAATGTCTCCTTAAAGACAAAACTACCAATAACTTCAATGATGGGCAGGAGAGGCATTAGGGGTCTTATAAACAGCTGATATCTCATTAAAGAAAATGCTACCATTACCCTCAATGGAGGGCAGGAGAGACATTAGGACCTAATGCACCCCTGATGTCTCATTAAAGACAACACCACCATTAACTTCAGTGGAGAGCAGGACAAACATCAGTGATCTAATAGACCCGTGATGTCTCAATAAAAGCAGCACTACCAGGGAGGGGGGCAGAACCCATGGTGTTTAGGTGACAATGGTCACCAGGGTGGATACAAAGGAGTGAGACTCTCCATTGAGAACACAGTCAGAACACAAAGCTTCAGAAAGACGTAACAAAGAGGCACCGGGGATGAAGGCTCCCATACAGAAAGACTTGACTCAGTTCAAAGAAACAGAGCAAATAGCATCAAACCAAAATATGACAGAGTCTGAAATGCTTTCATTGTTCATAATCTGATCAAATAAAACAGTCAACGCGTTTCGTGGGCCAAGACAAACCCCATTCGTCAGGGATATTTAGTAGATATAGATCGTAAGTGCCATTCAGTGGCCAAATGCCATGACTACTGAGTAGGACAAAACACATTTTGGAATGTCTCATGGTTTTACTGTTGGTTACTGTCCCTGGCCCGCCCCTTTCATTCATTGGATTTCTGTTCTTTCAATCAAGGAGGATCAGCATCAGATGCGGGTGTTACCCAACGTGGTCCACATGCAAATACAGCCTGCTTAGGAACAGCCAGTTCTCTAGATTGACATCCATGCATCAAGGCATTTTGATATTTGCATAACTCCGCCCAATAGCCTGCCCACTGCTTGCATCTAGGCTGAGGGCTCTTGAGAGGAGTACTGAGGCAGGCTGCTGTGATGCCCCCTCCCGGCCCCTCCGACCGGTAATGATTTGCCTGCTTTGCATAGAGAACAGTGGCGGGACAAGGTCATCTAGCGCTCAGAGCAAAGATGCCAAACAATGCCCCCCCCCCCCCCAAATGTATGAAAATTGTGTGTCAGCAATCCTCCTCCTCCCCCCAAAAAAAATTCAAGCACTAATCTGCACACTTACCCCCTATGCAAACATTCCCTTTGCAAGTCAAAATTCGCCCTAAACAAAAAATGTTCCCTCTTCCAGTAAAAATACCCCCTGTCAGCTCAAATCTGCCCTCTCCCCAGATCTCCCCTCCTGGCACAAATCCTCTACCCCTCACATTTCCCCTCTGAGCCTAAATCCTCTCCCCCCCAAATCCCTTTTCCCAGCACAAATCCCCCTCTCCCAGCACAAATCCCCCCAAATCCCTTTTCCCAGCACAAATTCCTTCTCCCAGCACAAATCCTCTCCAAATCCCCTCTCCCAGCACAAATACCCTCTTCCAGAACAAATCCCCCCAAATCCCCTCTCCTAGCACAACACCCCTCCAAATCCCCTCTCCCAGCACAGATCCTCTCCCCCAGCACAAATCCCCCCAAATCCCCTCTCCAAGCACAAATCCACCTCTCTCAGCACAAATTCCCTCCAAATCCCCTCTCCCAGCACAAAACCCCTCTCCCAGCACAAATCCCCTCCAAATCCCCTCTCCCAGCACAAATCCCCTCTCCTAGCACAAATCCCCCCAAATCCCCTCTCCCAGCACAAATCCCCTCTCCCAGCACAAATCCCCTCCAAATCCCTTCTCCCAGCATAAATCCCCTCTCCCAGCACAAATCCCCTCCAAATCCCCTCTCCCAGCACAAATCCCCTCTCCCAGCACAAATCCCCCCAAATCCCCTCTCCCAACATAAATCCCCTTCTCCCAGCACAAATCCCCCCAAATCCCCTCTCCCAGCACAAATTCCATCCAAATACCCCTATCCCAGCACAAATCCCCCCTCTCCAGCACAAATCCGCCTCTCCCAGCACAAATCCCCTCTCCCATCACAAATCCCCCCAAAGTCCCGCTCCTAGCACAAATCCCCCCAAATCCCCTCTCCCAACACAAATCCCCTCTCCCAGCACAAATCTCCTCAAATCCCCTCTCCCAGCATAAATCCCCTCTCCCAGCACAAATCCCCTCTCCCAGCACAAATCTTCCCATATCCCCTCTCCTAGCACATATCCCCTCAGTCATCCCTAATAGCACAAATTATAGTTACATAGTCTAGCTGAAAAAAAGAAAAAAGTCCATCCAGTTCAACCATTAAAAAAAGTTATAATCCTTCACCCACAGTTGATCCAGAGGAAGGCAAAAAAAAACAGCAAAGCACGATCCAATTTGCTCCTGCAGGGAAAAGATTCCTTCCTGATCCCCGAGAGGCAATTGGATATTCGCTGGATCAACTTTCCCTATAAATGTTATATCCAGTTATATTCTCTGTATCCAAGAAAGAATCCAGACCTTTCCTACAGCAATCCACTGAGCTGACCAGAACCTACTCTGAAGGGAGTCTATTCCACATTCTCACAGCTCTTACTGTGAAGAGACCTTTCCGTGTTTGGAAATTACATTTCTTTTCCTCCAGACGTAAAGAGTGCCCCCTTGTCCTCTGTGATGACCTCAGGGGGAATGACTACACCAAGTTCACTATATGAACCACTGATGTATTTATACATGGAGATCATTCCCCCCCCCCCCTATGTATTATACATGGAGATCATATCCCCCCTTATGTATTATACAGGGGGATCATATCCCCCCTTATGTATTATACATGGAGATCATATCCCCCCTTATGTATTATACATGGAGATCATATCCCCCCTTATGTATCACACATGGTGATCATATCCCCCCTTATGTAATATACATGGTGATCATATCCCCCCTTATGTATTATACATGGAGATCATATCCCCCCTTATGTATTATACATGGAGATCATATCCCCCCTTATGTATTATACATGGAGATCATATCCCCCCTTATGTATTATACATGGAGAGATCATATCCCCCCTTATGTATTATACATGGAGATCATATCCCCCCTTATGTATTATACATGGAGATCATATCCCCCCTTGTGTATTATACATGGAGATCATATCCCCCCTTATGTATTATACATGGAGATCATATCCCCCCTTATGTATTATACATGGTGATCATATCCCCCCTTATGTATTATACATGGAGATCATATCCCCCTTTATGTATTGTACATGGAGATCATATCCCCCCTTTGTATTATACATGGTGATCATATCCCCCCTTTGTATTATACATGGAGATCATATCCCCCTTATGTATTATACATGGAGATCATATCCCCCTTATGTATTATACATGGTGATCATATCCCCCCTTATGTATTATACATGGAGATCATATCCCCCCTTTGTATTATACATG